AATAACAGCAGTTCTGGGTTCCTTAAAGAGCCCTGGCTGAGGGCATCCAGCTCCTCCCAGAGCAGCAGGAGGGTGTCCTGGCACAGCATCCAGCTGGGCACCCCCACGGCAGAAAGGGGCCTGGGGTGCCCTGGGGCAAGGAGCCACATTCTCCTGGGTGCCCAGACATCCATCTGTGGGCACTGTGGGAGAAAAGGTCCTGGGCTGCACAGCCCAACCACCCTCGGAATGCCAGGCTGGGTCAGGCTGGAAGGGACCATGAGGGTGCCCAGGTCCCACTCCCTGCTCAGCGGGGCCATCCCAGAGCACAGGGCACGGGATTGTGTCCAGACAGTTCTGGGCATCTCCAGTGAGGGAGACTCCACAGCCTCTCTGGAGGGAATTCTCAGGGAAAACGTGTGTCCATCTCCATCACACCCACGGGGTACTGGCCAAGTCCTCTTATCAGTTTTTGAGAACCCACATGTTTCTCAGTGACGCAGCTTTTATGTAAATTCTGGGGAAATGCAATGAGGAAAATACCACTCATGCGTGCAAAGATGCAGTTGTTACCAAGAGAACCTGCTGAGCACCTTGGGATTTGCCTGCTTTTAGGATTTCCCTTTAATGTCAACTTCCTCATAGTCAGGAATCCTGCAGATTGCTCTGGCAGAGCTCCCGGCAAGAACATGGATCCTGTCACCAGGATGTGGCTGCAGCAGCGTGACTCCTCCTGAGGGCCTCCTCAGCACAGCTGGGATTCTGTGTGGAATGAGGAATCACAAGGCAAATTCCTCCTGCCCGACCAGCAGGTGCTGATTTAGAAGTGGCCGCTTTGCGCCACATCCCGTCAGAAACTTCAGCATAGCTCAATGCAAACCTTTCCGACAATTTCTACAGGGCATCCACAAAATCTTTAGGAAATATTGCCTCGGTTTGGAAGGAAAACTGAAGCAAGCTCTTACATAAAGTGGAACAGAAATTCTGCCCCGTCCCTGGGGCCGGTGCAGGGCAGGAAGAACTTCCCAGATTCCCGGCTCCGGGCAGCCCCTGGAGCAGCATCCCTGCGAGCCCGGGGGCACTGGGTGCTCCCTGCTCCCCTTCCCCCGCCTGCCACACGGGGATCATCCCAACCTCATCGCAACCTGTGCCGATCCCGGAACCCCAGGCTGGGCCAGGGACCCCAGCGGCTCCTCCGGGCCCATCCCGGAGCACAGGGCAGGGGATCGCGGGCAGGCGGCTCTGGAATGTCCGCAGTGAGGAGATTCCAGCGCCTCCCTGGGCCAGAGCCCCGCTCCCAGCGGAACGGGATGCCCGGTTCACCCAGGAGCTGCCACGTGGGGAAACACCCGCAGCGGGAGCTCCCTGCCCTTCCCGGAGCCCCGGCCGGGACACGCCGGATGTGCCCAAGCCCGGTGCGGGGCTCGCTGTCCCCGTGGGTGATGACTCAGTGGCCCGTGCAAGGCTCGGTGCCCCGGTGGCGGCCGCACTCACCGTGTGTTCGCCGGGCGCCCGCTGCTTGAAGGTGGTGGAGAGCGAGATGGGCGGCACCACGGCCCCGGAGCGCCACTGCTCGGGCTCCTGGCCGGCGTGGATGGCGTTGGTGGCGAAGTGCTTGAAGGGAGGCAGAAACCCCTCTGTCCCCTTGCCTGCCATGGCTGCGGCTCTGAGGCACCGGCCCTGAGCGCTCCGGGGGCTCGGCAAAGGCGGGCCTTTCTCGTCTCCTCATTGGCTGCGGCTCCGGCGGGGCGGGACCCCCGCGCCCTCCCATTGGCTGCCGGTGGGGCGGGGCCTGCCCTGCACAGGCAGCGCCCGCCCGCTGGGGGGCGCCCGCGCGCCGCGCGCTGTGGGGCCGCTCCCGGGGCGCCTTGCCTGGATCCGGGGTCGCCTTTCCCGGGAATAACCGGGAATAACCGGGAATGATCCCGCAGCACACGGCTGATCCAAAGGGGAGCAGTGTGCTGGCTGCCCGGAAGCGCTGCCTGGAATGCCTCAGCACCTGTGAATAACCCCACCACGGCACAGGCTGGGGGGAACCTGCTGGAGTAGCTCCAGGGGAAGGACCTGGGGATGCTGGGGGACAAGGAACTGTCCCTGCCCAGCGGTGTCCAGTGGGATCCTGAGGCACAATGAGCTGTCACTGTCCCAGCAGTGTCCAGTGGGATCCTGAGGGACAACGAGCTGTCGCTGCCCAGCAATATCCAGTGGGATCCTGGGCTGCCTCAGGCAGAGCATTCCCAGCAGGTCAAGGAGTGATCCTGCCCTGTGGCCAGCCCTGGAGGCACCTCTGGAGTTCTGTGCCCAGCTCTGGATCCTCAGCACAGCAGGGACAGGAGCTCCTGGAGCTGAGCAAGGCCTGGAGCATCCCTGTGCCCAGGAAAGGCTGAGGGAGCTGGGGCTGCTCAGCCTGGAGAGGAGCCCCAGCTGAGAGGGGCCTCAGCCCTGGGTGTCCCTGGGTGTCCCTCTCTGTCTCTGGGTGTCCCTGTCTGTCTGTCCTTGGCTGCCCCTGAGTGTCCGTGTGTGTCCGTGTGTGTCCCTGGATGTCCCTGAGTGTCCCTGTGTGTCCGTGTGTGTCCATGTGTGTCAGTGTGTGCCCCTGAGTGTCCGTGTGTGTCCCTGAGTGCCCCTGAGTGCCCCTGAGTGTCCCTGTGTGTCCGTGTGTGTCCCTGAGTGTCCCTGAGTGCCCCTGAGTGTCCCTGTGTGTCCATGTGTGTCCGTGTGTGTCCCTGGATGTCCCTGGATGTCCCTGAGTGCAGAGAGGGTCAGAGCAGGTCCCGTGCTCTGCTCCAGGGGCACGGCAGTGGCACCAGAGGAAAGCAGGGATTGATCCCAGGAATTCCCCTGCACAGGAGGCAGAACTTCTGCTCTGAGCAGTGCCCAGCCCCAAATTGTGCAGAGAGGCTGTGGAGTCTCCTCTCTGGGATATTCCAGAACCACTGGGACATAACCCTGTGCTCTGGGATGTCCCTGCTGGAGCAGGGAGGTGGCACCAGAAGAGCCACTGTGGTTCCTTCTAGCCTTACCCATCCTGGGATTCTGAGATTAAAAATTAATTCACTGGGTCTCCATGCCAAGGTTATCCTACATTGACTGACGTCCACGGAACAGCACTTTGACCTCTGAGGACAAAGGGCACATATGTGCTGAAGGCCACTCATGTGCTGATGAAGGATTTTTATATTAGATTTTGTAAGGAAACATTTTCTTTACAACAAAAATATGGATAAAATCTGAGCAAAGCTGGATCTAAGAAGAGCGAACCTGTGGATATATGCAGGGCCACACCCCAGCCTCAGCACTCAAGCAGGAACCTGGGATTAAGGAGGGAGGAATTCCATCTCATATTGACAAACCCACTTGCTGTAGGAAATTTCTGTTGATAGATAGAAAAAAACCCCATTCTCAAGAATTTTTAATTGTAAAGTAATCCCACAGCTGGGATTCCCTACAAACATCAGTTTTCCCAGAGCCCTTCCCATGAGTAATGCCTTGGTTCCATTTCTGGGGTGAATAAGGGAGTCCATAATAAGCTGGTAAACAGTGACTTCATACCTCCAGTAATTGAAAATGCAGAATGAGGCTTCCAACATCAGCTAAAATCTGAGCCAATCCCTCCATTCCACAAGACTGGCTGTGCTCCATGTGTGTTTCCAGGAGGGGAGAACAGGAGACATCAGAACTGCTGACAGTGCCAGCCTCTCACATTCTGCCTGCAAATGAGTTCGACTTTCCTCAAAAAACAAGGAGACACAGAAAAATCTCATTGAAAAGATCACTGGAGTATAGAGAAAAAAAAAAAAAAAAGTTGGGCTTTTTTCCCTAGAATTACTTAAAATTCTGTATTAGGAGTGTAAAAAGCTGTGTGGGAAGCAGCTGGGGACAGCAGGCACAGGAATTCCTAAATGTGCTTTGAATTCTTGGAAGATGGAGATGATGCAAAATGGGGAAAGAAAAGGTCACCAGGAAGGCAGTTCTGCTACCACAGCAGGTCTGATCTTCTTAGCAACCTGGTGGTTGTTTTCCCTGGCAGAATTAGTAAAAAATCCAATTCACCAGGAATTTGGGACATCATTATTTTTACAATTACTCATCCCATATTGGAAACAGAAACCCGCAGAACTGGCCCGGGAGTGGGAGGTGCAGTGGGAAATTGGGAAGCTCTGACCCAAACAGGTCCTTTCTGAGCTGACAAAGCTTCTCCAAGGGCTCGCACCACGACAGGGGGACTGTCCAATATTTTTCCCTTTCCCTGCACCTATTTTTGAGGAACACTTGTCCAGGTCCCATCATTTCCCAAAGAACTTTCCATGGAGAGTGGGAGAGCACTGGAATAGCTGCTCAGAGAGTCCCAGAGTCTCCTTGTCCCGGTCCCTCAGGATGTGGCCATTGGGACCGATCCCTGATCCCGCTCGTCCCTCAGGATGCGGTTGTTGAGATCAATCCCTGATTCCCGATCCCGTCCCTCAGGATGCGGTTGTTGAGATCAATCCCTGATTCCCGATCCCGTCCCTCAGGATGCGGTTGTTGGGATTGATCCCCGGTCTCATCCCTCAGGATGCGGTTGTTGGGATCTATACTCGATTCCCCGATCCCGCCCCTCAGGCCGCGCCCATTTGGGGCGGATCCCGTCCCTCAGGATGTGGTTGCTGGGATCGATCCCCGGTCCCCGATCCCGTTCCTCGGGATGCGGTTGTCAGGATGGATCCCCAATCCCCAGTTCCCGATCCTGTCCCTCAGGATGCGTTTTTCGGGATGGATCCCCAATCCCCAGTTCCTGATCCTGTCCCTCAGGGTGCGGTTTTCGGGATGGATCTCTGGTCCCCGGTCCCCAGTTCTCGGTCCTCGATCCCGCCCCTCAGGTCGTGCCCGTTGAGGCGGATCCCGTCCCTCAGGATGCGGTTACTGGGATCCATCCGCGGTTCCCGATTCCCGGTCCCGTCCTTCGGGACGCGATTGTCGGGACGGATCCCCGATCCCGGTCCCCGATCCCGGCTCCCGATCCCGCCCCTCAGGCCGTGCCCGTTGGGGCGGATCCCGTCCCTCAGGATGTGGTTACTGGGATCCATCCGCGATTCCCGGTCCCGTCCCTCGGGACGCGGTTGTCGGGACGAATCCCCGATCCCGGTTCCCGGTTCCCGGTTCCCGGTTCCCGGTTCCCGGTTCCCGGTTCCCGGTTCCCGGTTCCCGATCCCGCCCCTCAGGCCGTGCCCGTTGGGGCGGATCCCGCCCCGCCCCTCCCGGTCACTCCGCGCTCCTCCCGCGCGCTCTCTCGGTGCGGCGCAGTCTCGCGAGAGCAGCGGCCGAAGATGGCGGCGCGGAGCCGAGGCCCGTGAGGCGCGGGCGGAGCTGCGGCCGCTCCGGGGGCTCCGGGCGGGACCGGCCCCGCGGGCTCCGAGCGCTCCGGGCGCTCCCGCCGGCCATGACCGGCGAGAAGCTCCGCTCGCTGCGCAGGGACCACAAACCCAGCAAAGAGGACGGGGACCTGCTGGCGGCCGGCGAGGACGAGGCGGCCGCGGCGCCCGGGGGCGCCTTCACGGGCGGGAAGGGCGGGCGGGCCGGGGGGCACCGCGGGCCCGGCGCTCACCGGCACCGCCCGCCGGCCCGGGCCGCCCCCGCCGGGCCCGAGCGCGGCCCCTTCCCCGTGCACGAGTGCGTGTTCAAGGGGGACGTGCGGCGGCTCTCGGCGCTCATCCGCACGCAGGGCATCGCCCAGAAGGACAGTCACGGTGAGCGGGACACACCGGCGGATCCGGGCCCCGGTGCGGCGGGAGATGCGGATGGTGAACCGGGAAGTAGGAAATTCGTTGGGAGTTTTACCAGGGAGTTTCGTAAGGGTGTGTGAATCCCCTTTAGGAAAGACTGTGGCCAAGGGATGGAGTGACAGGACAAGGGGGATGGCTTCCACTGACAGAAGGCAGGGATGGACGGGATTTTGGGCAGGAATTGTTCCCTGGGAGGTTGGGGAGCTGTGGTTGCCCCTGGATCCCTGGCAGTGCCCAAGGCCAGGCTGGACACTTGGGCTTGGAGCAGCGTGGGACAGTGGAAAGTGTCCCTGCCATGGCAGGGCTGGCACTGGATGGGCTTTAAGGCCCTTCCAACCCAAACTCTTCCGTAATTCCATGATTTTTGTGATATGAATGTGTATTGTCAGCTCCAGTACCAGCACTGTGCTGGCAGAGCTGCCTCTAACTGGGTGTTGCTCTGTGTCCAAGACCCCACTGCATTTAAAAGATTTGTTCTTTTTTAGGATGTCTGAGCTGTCATCTGTTTGCTTTGTGGGATGCTGAACAGTTCCTTTGGGTGTTGGCAGAGCAGTTTTTGATATTTCCCCAGGCTACAAAAACCAGTCCTTTTTTTCCCCCTTTACTTTTAAATGCTGTGGCTCTGGATTTTGAGAGTTGTTCTCTCTGCTCCTCTGCAAGTGCTCTGTCCACAGCAGTGTCAGTGGCAGAGGTGGAATCTGATCCTTGTGCTGCTCTGAAATTTGTAAATATTGAATGTCTTGCCAGGACGTTTCAAAACATTTTAATTTGGGTAATGCTTTATACAGTTAACAAATAAATCAGCCTGGGGGATCAGCTTGACCTTCACGGTTAGTTTTAATCTCTATTTTTAATACCCATTTTGTGAGTAACAAGATCCATTTTTTGCTGGAGAATTGCAAGTTCCACGTGTGTGGTGTCTGAGAAGTTGTGATAAAGGGGAGGCTCGTGCTGTGTTTGTGATAAGGAAATTGGCTGTGCTTATGTGCGGTCTGTACATTCAAAAGGAGCACGAAGGTGAAGGATCTGTGGGCCTGGCACGGTGACAGCAATGATGGAATTGGGAATTCCGGCTGTGTTTGTGGTAGGCAGCTGAGGGATGCAGAGGAACACAGGGCTCAGCTCCCAGCCAGGATGGGCAGGAGAGTTCCCTACAACTGGCACAGCGCTTCCCTAAGGGCAGAGATCCAAATCCAGCTCCAGATCTGTTTATCCTGCCATCTTCATTCCAGCAAATCCTGCTAGAATGAAAGCTGTAGACTTGGGGAGGATTTTTCCCACTTGCTCTATTCCTGCTGCTGCTTCTCCCTGTTCCTCCTCCAGTTCCCTTTCAAGCAACTCAGCAGCAGCAGCAGCTCCAAATCTTTCCTTGAAGGCACTTCCTGATCCCTTTTTGCTGTGCTGTCACTCTCAGTGTGTATCACACACTTTGATTCCATCCTTTTTTTATCCATATATAAATCTCTAATTAATATCTCCCTGCTTTCCCAGCTCTGTTTAGAGCTGGGACACTGTGGGGATCTGAGTCATCATCTGCATCCCAAGTTTTTACTTGAACTGTTCAAAAAAACCCCACAACAAACCTCTTGATGGCTTGACATTCCAAAGGTCTGAGTAACATCTCCCTGTTATTGTTTTCTTCCTTCCTGATTCCATCTGTCACTTGTTTACACACACTGGAACTGGGAATTATTTGGGGGACACTCCAGCTGATGATTTGCTCAGAAATAAGCCAGAGGAATCCTGGGATGTGATAAGGATTGGACAGAGGGGAGAGAAAACTCATTGTTAATAATCCAGACCCCTTTTAGTGTTGGTTCAGTGCAGGAAAGCCAAATCCTGTGGAATGGGAGACTCCTGCTGTTCTGCTAAAAGCAATTGAGTGTTAATTGAGTGCCTACCCAGTTCCTAAATTAACCTCCAAATCACTGCCCAGGGGAAGGCCGGTGTCATTGTTCCTAAACAATGAGTTTCCTGGGAGAAGCCTGTAGCTACACCTAGTAGATGACTTACAGTTTTATTATAACATGCATTTAAGAGCTTAAATCCTGAAGCAGACAAATCCTCTTGCTGGAAAACAGCTGGAAAACAGCTGGAAAGCAGCCCTGGCTCCCTGCAGGTGTGAGGTACCTCAGCAGAGGTGAAAGGCCTCACGTGTCTGGGGGCAGGTGCTGTGTTTGAGGTGTGCTTTTGTGCCCACCTGGATGTGCATGGATTCCAGGAGCTGCTGGAGCACTGATTTCTTGGGAAAAGGGGCTGGAGCTGAGCTGGGCACTGATGAATCTTCAAATCCTGGGCTCAGTTCTGAGGCCTTCACTCCAGCAAAGACTTGGAGGGGCTGGAGTTGTGTCCAGGGCAGGGAACAGAGCTGGAGCACCAGGAGAGGCTGAGGGAGCTGGGAGGGGGCTGGAGAATCCCTGAGGGAGATGGGAAGGGTCTGGAGCACCAGGAAAAGCTGAAGGAGTTGGGAAGGGGCTCAGCCTGGAGAAAAGGAGGCTCAGGGGGGCCCTTGTGGCTCTGCACAACTCCCTGACAGGAGGGGACAGCCGGGGAGAGTCAGGGAACGGGGACAGGACAAGGGGGAATGGCCCCAAGTTGTGTCAGGGAAGGCTCAGCTTGGACATAGCAGGAATTTCCCCATGGAAAGGGTGGTGAGGGACTGGGAATTTTGGAATCCCCATCCCTGGAGGTGTCCAGGGAAGGGCTGGATGTGGCACTGAGTGCTGGTGACAAAGTGGGAATCGGGCACAGCTTGGACTCGGTGATCCTGGAGGCCTTTTCCACCCTCACCAATCCTGTGATTCCGTGATTTTATGAAAATGTTTCCCCTTGGCTCACAAAATTTGCATTTCCTGAGCACAGAGTGTGGCTCCCTCTCAAACATTTTCCTCGGGAAGGTTATTTCCATCCCCTACCAGAACATCCAGGATTCCCAGTGCTGTGCTGGCTCCCAGATGTTGGAGCAGCTATTAATAGCAGCAGGAGTTGAGCTGGGCTGTGGCTGCCTGGGATGCTGCCAGTGTCCTGCAAGGATGAAATACAGGACACACTGAACAATCCTGGACAATCAGGACAGAGCTCCCATCTCCAGCCAAAATTCCCTGATGCTGCAGGGTGGTGGCATTTGTGTGGCAGCCTCTCCCAGATGTGCAGCACATCCTCTGCACAGAGCAGGTTCTTGCTGCTGACAAAATGGGAGTTAGAAAATAACTCTCAACCGAGTGTGTGTGTGTGTGGTAGAATTGCACAAGAAATTTGTAATCCAGCTTTTTTTTTTTTTTTTTTTTTTTTTTGTCTTGACTGCTCTAAGAAAGTGTTTAAATGTGCAAAATACAGTTAAATGGAAGAACTTTGCATCTTTAAGCTCTCTAAATAAAGTGTGTCATGAGCCTGGTAGCAACATTAATCCAGGAAAAACAGCTCTGAGTGCCTCACAGTGAATATTTAAGAACACAAATACCACCCTTGTAACGAGCACAGACAGAAAAATGGGGACAGGTTGCTGAGAATCTCCAAAGCTTCCTTTGGAAACAACCAAAAGGCAGCTTTGTAGTGAAGGTTCCTTCTCAATATGACCAGTACTGTAGTTGTAAAAAATGAGTACTCAGTCTTTGAAAAATTAATAAAACAGGCTGTTAAATTTTTAATCAGTATCGTGTCTCTGAGTAGCTTTTAACCCAGATATGTCAGGCTGGGAAGGGATCAGGCTTTGGGGAGCTGAGGGGTTTGGGTTGTGTTTTTCTCAAAAGACACCTCTGGAGCTCCTTGCTTGGAGTGAGTCTGAAGATACCATTAAAAACCCTCTCTTGGCCCATGAAATGTGTCTCAATTTATTTATTTTGACAATTACAATCTACATGGTTGCATAGAAAAAATGTCACTGCTGGTGGGTTTTGGTGTTTTCCTGGGTTGGAGTTGGAGCTTCCTAAGGAAGGGATTCTGGTAATTTCAATCTAATCTCTTTTATTCCTATGGTTTCTTTTAGGAAACACTCCTTTACATCTTGCTGTGATGTTGGGACATAAAGGTGGGTAGAACCATTTGTTTTGTTACCTCTTCAGTGATCCTGAAAATTCGGGGGTAAGAGGAAAAAAATGTTTTTCTGAATGTGATCTCGTGTTTCAAGCTAGTGAGCTTTTCTGGGAACAAGATGGATTTGGAGGAGAAGAGTGGGAAAAGAGATCTGAGCTTTATTCCCAATATCCCACCTAACCCTCTGAGAGTGGGAAGCCTTTCCTGTCCCTTCTTGTCCCCTCTCCAGCTCTCCTGGAGCCTCTTTAGGCTCTGATCTCTCCCTGGATCCTTCTTTTCTCCAGGTGAACATTCCCAGCTCTCCCAGCCTGTTTATTGAACTGCAGATGGAATCTGGCTGGTGATTCCAGGCTCATTTGCCTGCTCCCTGCAGAATGATGTTCTTATCCTGGGCACTGTTTAAAGGAACCATAACAATCCCTTGGCTGGGTTAGTCAGGGCCTTTGTTTATCCCCACAGGAGACAGTTTATTCAGCAGGGAAATATCTCTTCCTCCCCAGCCACTCAGCCTGCCACTGACTCACAGCTGCTGCATCTGGAATGACCAGTGCAGTTTCCTGTGGCACCTGTGGTAGGAAAATAAAATAACCCAGGAAGTGCCTGTCTTGGTGGTGAGACAGCTGAGCCCTGCTCCATCACCTCCAGATGGCTCAGGGTGGCTTTAGTGACATTTGCTGAGGTTTGGAAACTGAAAAACCATTTCCAGGGAGCCCTGAACCCCTGCTTGTCTCCTTTATGTGCACCTGTGCATGGGGAATGCAGCTGTTGGTTCCACACCTGCTCTGAGGTTTTCCTGCAGCACAGGTGCCTGTTTGCCCTCTTTAAATCCCACATTGCCCAGAATGTTTTGGCACACGGGCATGTGGTGGTGCCTCCCCTACACCTGATGGGATTTACCCCAAATCCATGTCCCCATGATCCATTCACCCCTTGGAGAGAGGGATGAAGGCTCTGAGCTGTCTCTGCTTTGTGTGTGCAGCACAGAGAGCTGATGTCATCCATTAAATAGAAATGCCCTTGTTCCATGGTGGTGTGTGCATCTGACATGCAGAAATATTATAAAAAACAAAATCCACCTAGCAGGAGGGACAAATCTTCAGTGTTATATAATTATTGTTTATATTATACCACCAATTAATTTTAGGAGTAATATTGAACAGGGAAGTGCTGGAAGTACTTGAATAAATGGTTTTGTTTGTTAGAGTGAGTCAGAACCCAGATCTGTGTTTTGATAATCTGTGTAATATCTCTGATACAAATTGCTTTGATACAGTTTGATTCTGACTGCTCCTGCTGCATCACTTTCCTGTAAATAACTGTGGATATTTTGTCTCAGAATGTGCCCACCTGCTTTTAGCCCATAATGCTCCAGTAAAGGTGAAAAATGCTCAGGGATGGAGCCCTCTGGCCGAAGCCATCAGCTATGGAGACAGACAGATGAGTAAGCACCTCTTCATTCATTCATTCCTTCCTTCATTCATTCATCCCAATTTGCTAATTAGCCCCAAAATGGGGCTCATTCACAACAGGAAAGCAGAGCTTTGAAGCTGGGTTATTTTCCCACAGCCCTCTCTCAGCTCTCTGAAGGGTTTCTCTTAATCAGCTGAACATTTTCTATGTGGACACCATCAGGCACATCCATTTCCTCCATAAGAAATTGCCCTGGGTTACATAAGGAAACTGTTAATTCTGCTCACACTGTGAGGGGATTGGGAAAGCTCTGCACCAGCACATGCAGGGTTTGGGATGGGAGTGACAGGGCCCACATGGATCTGAGCTGGGTGGGATCATCTCCCTGTGCTCACAGGTTTGTTTGTGTATCAGTGGGATGTGGATTTTAGGCTGCATCTCAACAGGCCAGTGGGAAAATGTAATTTCTATATTATTCAAATATTATTTGTTCACCTCAGACATGGAGTAGCAAAAGGAAATTATTCTGCTGCTACTCACTGGTGGATGTTAATAGTATTTGGTATCACCATATGTGATATAGCAGAAAACTCACTCTATATTACATATATAAAAGTATTATTAATATATTAATGCACTAATTAATAATCTACCAACAACATTCTCATGGCAGCTCCTCACTACTGGTTTTCTCAGTGGAATAGATGTTACAGATATTCAGTATATTTGTATCCACATATTTACTAATACCTGTGTAAAAACCCTCTTGACATGATGATATAATTAATTTTACAAACAATTATCGAGGCTTTTCTTCCTGGGATGATCTGAGCAGGTTAATGTGCACTTCCTGTAACTGGGATTAATTTCTCAGGTCTGATGAAATGTTCCATTGCATTACAAATAAGACACTCATAATTCCCAAACCAACAGAGCTGATGGGTTAATTCCTGTTGTAGTTTCAGCACTCCTGAGGAAGCTCAAGCAGCAATCCAGGGAAAGTGTTGAAGAGAAACGACCTCGATTATTAAAAGCCCTGAAGGAGGTGAGTTGTGCTGACAGAACCAGATGAGGTGGAAAGCAGTGGCTTGTGCTCTGAGTAAGGACACTCTGGAAAACTGCCAGGAAGTTTTTTCCATGTTTTTTTCCCAATCTTTTGCTCTTAAAAGCAATCTTGGCTCTGTTTTAAAGGGTGAGAATTCTATTTATTTTAAGAAGATACTTCCTTTCAACTTCTAGAAATTCAAATAAAAGCTTTGGGTGAGACAGACCTGCTCATCATCTTTGCAATCTCAAAGTTAAAGAATTTTTATTTAATTAGATTTTTAAGGCTTTCTTAAATCTTGTATCAATGAATAATTTCCTGCTCTGCTCAGTTCCCAAATAACTCTTGCCCAGTGATGGAGGAGATTTTTTTGATTTCATTCCCCATCATCATCCAGCAGCCAATTCCTCTTGTTCACAGTGAAATATTGCTCAGTTTGGGGGAACAGCAATTTGTAGAAAGCCATTTATTGATGAGAAATGAATGAAATTGTCCCTGTGCAGGCTGAGCTGTTTTTGGGATCCCTGGGCACCCTCGTGGTGGGGTTGGCTGTGGCTCACAGGAGCTCTGAGCTCCTGATTTCAGCACATTTCCACAAGGCCACTGAAAATCGGTGTTTGCAATAGCCCTGCCTGAAACTTGACTCATTAATTATTGTATAATTAATTTTTAATTCCCTGGGATTGGGTGGGATCAATCAAAGCAAGCAGAGAGCTCCATAGGTGTTTTTTTTTTTTTAAACACGTGTTCACAATAAATCTTTTGCAATCCAGGGCTTGATAGTTAAATTAGTATTAAAAAATGATTAAAACTCTGACTTCTCAGATGAGTTACATCATTTTCTCATTATTGATTCTGCTACAGCTAAAGCTTCAGTGATATTTAAATTCAGTACAAATTCAAGTACAACATTAGAAAAAATTTTCTTTGTTTGCCAAACCCAACTTCTGCCTGTCTTTGAGCAAATTTTACACTTATTTAGCCTGAAAAGCTTCTTAACACATTCTTCTTTTCTTCTCAGCTAGGTGACTTCTATCTAGAGCTTCACTGGGATTTTCAAAGTTGGGGTGAGTGCCTTCATGTCCCTTCCCCAGGAGAAAATGCAATCAGCCTGCAGCACAGCTGTCCTGCTCTGCTTTGTGCTTTTTGCAGATCTGAGTCCTGAGGAAAGGACACACAACTTTTTCTAGATTTATTTATTTTTTTTTTTTTTTTTGGAGCTGAATTTTCTCATCCAGTGTCTCAGTAAAAGGGGAATTAGCTCTTTGCTTTAAGAAGCTGAGCCATGGAAGGTGTCCCCTGCCCATGGTCCCTCCTGACCCAAACCAGTCTGGGATTCTATGATTTTATGTGTTTTATTAACTTATTAATGAATATTAATACTTTGGACCATTTTTATGCTTGTGCCCGTTCTGCTTTAATTGGAGCCAGGCTTTCCCTTGGTGCATTATATAAACTATTAAATCCCAGAATTCAAACTCTGAACAGCCACAATTATTAGGATTTATAAATGGTTTACCTGTGATAAAAATACAAACTCTGTCTGATATTAGAAGCAAGGTGTGCAGTTACAATTACAAAAAAAAAATCAATTTTATCAAATAGAAATACCCCTGATGTTGGTTATATTTGATTGATATGATGATGAAAAATGCTGTATTTGTATTAAAACACATCCAGAATCAAACTGATGAAATGATTTTCATGGGAATACTTTGCAGAGGGATCTCAGTGCCCTGATTACCTTTTTCTCTCCCTCTTTTAGTGCCTTTACTTTCCCGAATTCTGCCTTCTGATGCATGTAAAATACACAAACAAGGTATAAATATCAGGTGAGTGCTGCTTTTGTACCCAAATATTTCTGTGCCAAAGAAAAGCTGGATCCCAGTGGGCCTGGACACATCCAGGACTTGGAATTTCAGGCTCTCTAATTCTCTCTTTTGAGCTGAATATAACTTAAATATAGAACAAGAGCAGCTGGATAAGGTTTTATCTAGCAGATGTGTCAGTAAAAACAGGATTTGGGTATTTATAACACAATTGCAAATAAATTCCAGTATTTTGCAGCAATGTTGCTGCTCCAGTCTGTAGTTAGAAAAAAAAAAAAAAATAGTGATGTGATTTCTCTCTTTAAGGTGTTTAATGTGACAAATTCACAAACTCAGTTGGGGGTTTCAGGAATCTTCTCCAAGCTCAGCTCTTCAACTGATTTAATTTGGAATCAAATGTATTTTCTGGCGTTTTCTTTAGGAGCCAAAACTTAAAAGAGGCAAAGATATGATCCTGGAGATTCAATCTGTAGAAATTTTTGTTCTATTAAAGGGGTAGCTTGGGTGTGTAAAGTGAATTTTTAGGTGAAATTTGAGTGTGGAGCTGTTGCTTTCCTTCTCATTTCTGAATGTTCTGCCTGTGTGAGGCCTGAACTGAGGGGAAATAGATAAATACAGGTTTTTTAATCTGTGAGGAGTTTTTAATCCCTCACCACTTGGAGTCACCCAGTTCAGGTTCTTTAACCTCCTTTTTAAGAGAAAGAAATGATTTGGCAATACTGAATATCCATGGGCTTTGCTCCATCTTCTTCCAGCTGTTCACATCTGCAGGAGCATTTCCTTGGTGTTGGTGAAGGAGAAAAATAGAAACAGCAGTAAAAATAAAAAATGAGGGTTTTTTTTTTTAAAAAATGAGTTTTTATCTGAGTCCTCTTCAGATTTTGGGTCCTGTCCCAGTGTTGTTATTCAAGTCAGGAGGACCCTGATGTTTCTCAGCACTGAATAAATTCTCTCCCCCTCCCCTCCTCCTGCTGCCAGTATTAAATACAATTTTCTGAAGAAAACTTCACCTTTATAGCAATTTTTTTTGCTGATTTCTGCATCCAACCTTCACTTCTAAAATCCTATAAGAACTCAGCCCTTTATATGTTTATTTACCATTAAGAAAATTCACTTTGACTCTTGAAAGCTGAATTTTCCTGCTGCCTTTATGGGTCATTTTTTTTTGGTGAAATTTGGGATTGTTTTCACAGGCTGGACACAACTCTGATAGACTTTACTGACATGAAGTGCCAACGAGGGGATTTAAGCTTCATTTTTAACGGTGACGCCGCACCCTCCGAATCTTTTGTAGTTTTAGACAATGAGCAAAAAGTTTACCAGCGAATACACCACGAGGTAAAGCTCTGGGAAAGGGGGTGGGACACATCCCAGCTTTTTTTTTTTTTTGGGGGGGGGAATGTAGCAAACAAAATTTGCTTCAGAAACACCCAAAGAATTGCAAACCAAAGGATTTTTTTTTTTTTTTTTTTTCCCCCCTCACTTGTTCCAACTTGAGCTGTGAAGGTGACATCGAATTTTGTGTGGAAAAGCAGCTTTGAATCGAGATTTGGGGTTGAGGAAAAGCTGGAATGGGAATAGATTGGAAAGATGTGGTTGAAATTATAAATGTGCTGCTTTGAATCTTTGCACTGGGCTTAGCTTAGGTGTGCTCAGGTGGGTTTTCAGACCTGGTCCCACTGTTTTCAATCCTTTTATTCACTCCATGGCCAGTGCAGGTGATAACAACGTGGGGGTCTGACTCACTGGACCCCCTGTAATTAGTCAAGTCATTAATTACAGCTTTATCCCCCATCACTTAAGCAGATGGATTATTGCCTGTGGAAAGGGTGTGGCTGCTGAGCTGCTGCATAAATCTCATTGGGATGCTTTATTCACATTAATATTCAAGATTAAACTATTTAGAAACCATTTGGCCAGAGGTTTTTATAAAACCACTTGAAAATTCAGGAAATGCTGCTTCTGGGAAAAGATCCAAAGGACAAGGCTGATGGATTTGTATTTATTGGTTTATCTTTAGGAGAAGCAATCCTTGTTTGTAAGATGTGCTGAGTATTTTGGAATTTTTCTTCCAGGAATCCGAGATGGAGACAGAAGAGGAGGTTGACATTTTGATGAGCAGTGACATTTACTCTGCCACCTTATCCACCAAATCCATCACATTCACACGGGCCCAGACTGGCTGGCTCTTCAGGGAGGACAAAACTGTGAGTGAGAGGAATCAGAGCCTGGTTCTGGGCAGGAGGGAGGAGGGAAAGGGAGGAACATTGGAGCAAATTTCCTGGAGAAGCTGTGGCTGCCCCATCCCTGGGAGTGTCCCAGGCCAGGCTGGACAGGGCTTTGGAGCAGCCTGGGACTTGGAATGGCTTTGAGGTCCCTTCCAACCCAAACCAGTGCAGGATTGTGGAAAGATAAACTGTTCAGGACACAGGAAAAATCCCCTCTGCCTCTATCCCCAGTCATCACAAGTTCATTCCATGTGGAATCTCTCTGCTGGACTGCCTTCAGCAGGAAAAACCAGGAAAAAAAAGATTCTGGAGCTGTTGGGCAGGGGGGAGGACAGATTGGACTGGGAATGATTTTATTGCAGAGGCTCTGATCTCTGCAGGAAGGATTCTGTGCAATCCTGCAATGGGAGTGCTCTGGAAAGGGATTTCAATCCAATCCTTCAATAATCTGTGTCTTAAAGCTTCCCTTCATGAGAAGTACCTGTTCCTGCTGGATTTTTGGGATTGTCCACTGGGGGAATTCCAGCTCAATCTCAAAGTTCCCTTTACTGTCATTATTTGATCTACAAAAATCCAGATATTTTTATTTTATCTTCTATGAGTCATTAATATCCCGATTCCTTTCGTGCAGGAAAGAGTAGGAAACTTCCTGGCAGATTTCTACTTGGTGAATGGACTTGTGTTGGAATCCAGGAAAAGAAGGGAACATCTCAGTGAGGAGGATATCCTTCGGAATAAAGCAATCATGGAGAGCCTGAGCAAAGGGGGAAACCTCATGGAGCAGAATTTTGAGGTACAATTGATAAAACTCTGCCCAGGATGTGGGAGAAATAATATTTCACACCACTCTTGGTGCAAAATACATAGATAATGTTTTTATTTTCTTTTGATTGGCATAATTTAAAAATCATAAACATGACCCACAAGTATAATTGTGGTGATGCATTAATGAATTACTCTGATTAGTGCACACAGGGAGGGATTTCTGTGGTTATATTGGGTATTCAGCTTTAATTTGTCTCTTAGAAGAGATGAGGGGTTTGGCTGTGGCAAATCACTTTGGATTCTTTTAGACCCAACGTTGATTGTTGGGATTGAAAGGGAAGCCAGAAAGGCAATCGTGTTCCTTTGAGCTTCATTAAAATGGGAGGAAGCCTGTGATTAGCACCAGGAAATCAAGAGCTCTTCAGAACGAGCCAGGCTTCAGCTGGGAACACACACAGAGCTTTTAAAGTGATTAATTTATTTCTGTGTGAGCTGGAGCTGCTGCCTTGGCACTCAGAGCCCTGAATTAACTCATTATGATGGAGCAGCACAGCCCAATCCTATAGAAAACGCCCTCGGAGGCCAAACCCCTCCGTGGGGGCTGAGAGCAGGAGCTGAGGGAATCAGGGCAGGTTCTGGGGCTGTTGTTGGAGATGAGAGGCAGCTCCAGGTGGGAATGTCAGGAGGAGGGAGGGGACAGCAGCTCTGAGCTCTGCTTGTCCCACAGCCCGTGCGCCGGCAGTCACTGACCCCACCGTCCCCCAACACCATCTCCTGGGAGGAGTACATCTCTGCAGAGAGTGGCAAGTGAGTGCTCTGGGGCTGCAGGGCTCCCAGGGACACCTCTGGATCCCTGGCATGGGCTTGGACACATCTGGATCCCTGGCATGGGCTTGGACACATCTGGATCCCTGGCATGGGCTTGGACACATCTGGATCCCTGGCATGGGCTTGGACACATCTGGATCCCTGGCATGGGGCTTGGGCACCTCTGGGTCCCTGGGATGGGGCTGGAAGGGTCTGTGGGGGGGGTTTTGAGTTCTCCACTTGGTGGGTGCTGCTTGTTTTTGTGGGGAGGGAGGGAGGAATGCTGGGTTTGGTGTCCCAGTGTTTGTTCTCCAGAGGGCTGGGATGGGATCCCTGTGTGTGGGAACAGTGTCAGTGCTTCACTTACAGGCAGGGAATCCTGGAGTGCTTTGGCTTGGAGGGGAACCTTAAAGCCCATCCAGTTCCACCCCCTGGCATAGGCATTTCTGGGTAGTGGTTAATAAACACTTCCTGTAGGGTTTATTAACAACATGTTTATGAGGAATTATTTTATTGGAGTAGTTTTCCTGTTTTTGTCTTGTCTCCTGGTTTAGCAGAACTCAGAGTTTTATTTTGCACAGCTTTACAATAAAGCAAATCCTTTGAAAGTAGAGATTCTTCCCTGATGTTTTCCTACTCAAATCTGCTTTTGTTCCTCTAAACCCAGGGTTTCCCTGGAAAACACTGACTTTACCTCTCCCTCACAGAGCTCCTCACCTGGGCAGGGAGCTGGTCTGCAAGGAAAGCAAGAAAACCTTCAAAGCCACGATAGCAATGAGCCAGGAATTCCCCTTAGGAATCGAATCGTGAGTCAAAGCTCCTGCCATGGGAGCCATTCCTGTTGGGAATGTTTTAATTGTTCATGAACTGCAGAACTTTCCAGATCCCAGAGTGGGAGTCAGGTTATTGAGCAAGGAATCCCTAAAACTGGGAAGCTTTTTCCTCTAAAACTGGGCAGCTGGGGCTGGGGGGGAGCCAAGCCCTTACCTGGCTTGGTAAGAGCTGAGTTTTGGGCTGGGTTATCAGTAACTGGTGCCTGATCCCAAAGAATTCTGAAATGGTTTTCCCCATAATAAGTTTTAGCACAAAATTGTGTCCACTAAAGCAGTGCAAAGCCATGGAGAAGAGGGGTGCTACCTCATCCCTCAACTCCTGTGGAAAATGAGGACAAGGAATTGCTGTCCTGGGCTTGGTTTGTTTTAATTCTGCATCACCAGGAGCTGGGTGTGGGGTGACCCTGAAGCCCTGGGATGGAGAATGGGGATGGTGTCATTGTCACCCTCTCTGTCCCTGGGCCCTTGGGATGATGTTTTCCTGTTCCAGGGGGACAGGCTGTGGCAGGAGGATCTGTCACAGACTCTGCTCTCCTTTGCAGGTTGTTGAATGTCTTAGAAGTCATTGCACCCTTCAAGCACTTTAACAAACTTAGAGAATTTGTTCAAATGAAGCTTCCACCAGGCTTTCCTGTCAAATTAGGTAAGAGCACACAACAACTCCTGGGGCTTTACATATCCTGAATTTTAGGTTGGAAAAGGTCTCTAAAGATTGAGTCCAACCATCCCAGCACTGCCAAGGCCACCACTGCCCCATGTCCCCAAATGCCACATCCACAGGGCTTTGAAATCCCTCCAGGGCTGGAAAACCCTTTCCAAGAGAAATCTTCCCAAATATCCAATCCAGATCTAAACATGAGCATTTATTCTGGCAATGTGTTCTGAAGATCTCATTTGGGGTTTTGGGGAAGAGCTCTCACCTAGGAATGTGTTGCTGGAGAGTTCAGGAGCACAGAAGTGCTGGGGCCTTGCTCCAGGGGCAGTGGGATGTGCAGGATTATTCCTGCATTAGGGAGGATTTCAGGTGTGGAACATTCCTGTGTTTCCTTTCCTTCGAGGATTACTGGTGATAGATTTGTTTTAAGTGAAAAATATAAAATGATTGCACTTGTAATAGATGGAAAAAAAATTAGTCAAAAATCAACTTATTAAGGGGATGGATGATCCCAGAAGCCACTTTCCTGAGGGACAGAGGGTTTCTGGGATTGCAGGGAGCTGTTTGAGCCTGCCGGATTTGCACAACACTCCAGAGCAATTTGGGTTGGGAGCCGACTCAAATCCCGGCTTGTGCTCCCATTCCCGTGGCCCAGGGACACCTTCCACTAGCCCAGCTTGCTCTAGGCTGGCCTTGGGGACACCTGCAGGGCTGGGGTTGGTGCCATTGTGGCTTTTCCTTGGCCCTGACCGTGGCCTGTCCGTGCCCTGCAGACATCCCGGTGTTCCCCACCATCACAGCCACTGTGACCTTCCAGGAGTTTCGCTACGACGAGTTCCATGACTCCATCTTCAGCATTCCCGACGACTACAAGGAGGATCCCAGCCGCTTCCCGGACCTCTAGGGGGGGCTGGAAGCTTCCTGGGGAACGCCCACGTGCCGGGGAAAGGGAATGGCCGCAGCCACAGTAGAGTAGAGCCGTGGGGCCACAGGAAGGGATGAACTGCGTGAGCCCAAAGGCAGCAAAGGGAACGAGCAGCAGTGCGGATGTGCTGGCACTGCACTGGGCATCAGCCCCCTGGGCATCAGCCCCCTGGGCATCAGCTCCTGCTTCCCAGAGCCTCCTGCTGCCATTCCCTTTGGCACAGCCAGTCCTGGCCCAGGAGCTGCCACCCCCAGCTGCGAGGAGCTGCTGGTTTTTAAATTTTTTTTACATTGCTGGACCTTGGCACCGAGCTGGGCCCGGGGCTGGGGGTGAGCCCCCCCCCTTCCCCCCCATCCTTCCCGTGCTCCCTGTTCCCTGAGCTCCCAGCTCAGCCATGGAATGTTGGAAGGTATCCCCAAGGAATGCCTTGGCTGTAGATGAATGAACCAAATGGGCACCATTGACACTTGGATTTGCTGCTGCACCCCAGGGCAGAGCCAGCTGTGCTCTGCAGGGAGTGAGGCACCTCTGGAGCACCAGCCTGGTGCTGTCCCTGCCTGATCCCTCCATTCCCACTCCCCTCCCTGCTCTCTGCTCCCTGCCTGCCTCCCTGTGCTTTTGGGGAGCATTCCAGGGCTGCCTGGGCCAGGAATGTCACTTTTTAATCCTATTTTTGAGCCTCACTTGGGAGAGGTGTCCCAGCACTGAGCACCACCAGGTCAGTCCGTGTGTGCAGCCTGGAAATCTGGGATGCCCAGAGGCCCTGGGGAGAGCTCAGGCATTGCCCCTTCCTGCACGAGGAGCTTTCCCTGCACTCGTGGTGCTCACAGGCAGCTTTCACTGGGGTGTTCCCACTTCCATTTCCTGCCTCTTTGTGTTTCTATCACAGAGAATCCCAGACTGGTTTGGGATGGGGGGACCTTAGTCCCCCACTTTGTGGATGTTTCAGTACTCCAGCTCCTCGAGCTTATTCCCATTCCCAGTTGTTCCAGTCTCCTCATCTAAACCAATAATTCACCTTTTTGGGGTTTGTTAGGCAAGATTTGTGCAGAAGGCTGATGGTGCTATTTGTTTGTATGAAGAAATTTAGATTCAAGTGCTGTGGTGTCATTGTACAAAAAAATGTAAATATTTTCCAAATTATATTCTTTGTGCACTGTAGGTAAAACTTTTTCTGGAATTCCATAGAGTTAAGGATCAAAGTTTATAATGAAGAGGATGCTCAGTGGAAGGGAACAGCTGTGCTGAGCACGAGGGACAAGGGAGGGGCTGAGCACAGGGCAAAGGTGTCAGGCACACCTGAGAGCAGGGGATTCCAAACTGCTGGAATCCCTGAGCCATCCCAAAGAGGCTGCTCCGGGGAAGGACAGGGAGGAGGAGGAGGCCCAGGGAATCACTGTCAGCAAAATTCAGGAGCACCAGAGTGGGAGGGTGGGGTTGGTCCTTCCCCAGCACCTCTGTGAAGCTGGGGAGCACTGGGATGTGTGGGAATAGGGAAACACAGGGGAGCAGTGCAGCTTTGTTAATTCAAACTCAAACCTAAAATAAAACTTTAGGGAAAACAAGCAAAGGGAAATGAGTCCTGCAGTGCTGTGTCAGGGCAGGTGTGGAGCATCCTCTGGGAATGATGGAACTTGTTCTCCCAAGTAATGATGAATTCCTGACGTGTTTCACACCTCTGGGATGAACTGACAACGTCTGTGCTGCTCCTGGGAGCCAGGTGGGATCCTCTGGGACAGACTGGGAATGTCCATGGGGCTGAGCTGGAGCTTGGATTGGTGTCTGTGGGGCAGCACAGGGCCCTGTCCCCTCCCAGGGGTGCCCTGTCCCCTCCCAGGATGCTTTGTGGAGCTGCAGGACCTGTGCCAGGTGTGGAGCTGAAGCTGGTGCCATACAGGGCACCCCAATCCTTGGGAATTCCAGTGAAGAGGAGAAGTTCCTCCCCAAGGTGAATGTCAGAGCTCCCTTTCCTCAGTGCTTCAGGGGCAATCCTGGATTTCTGTTTCTTTGCATTTTTGGTTTTCCCAAATTCATCCCTGGCTCCGTGGGAATGTTGCTGGGGCTGTGGAGCCACTGCTGGATCCCAGGGTGGATCCTGGGCTTGGAACTGGAAAACAAAAAGGGTTTTGGGTGCCCTCCTGTGGGATTGAGGCTCCCGGGGCTCCATCCCCCCTGCTGGGGGCTGGTGGCCATGGGGTGTGTGCCCAAAGCCCAGGGCAGCTCCTGGAAGTGTTCCCTGTGGTTCCTGTGGCCTCTGGCTGCACCTCTGGGGGATTTTAACCCCCCCAGGACACGGCTGCTCCCTGGGACACTTCCAGGATCTGCAGGAAGCTGCTCCTAAGGCTCGTTCTGCCTTGGAATGTGGGCACAGCTTTGGGACTGTCCTTGTTCTGGTTTATCCCAGGAAATCCTGGCTGCTCCTGCTCTCCCTGTGGAGCTGAGGGCTGGGAATTCCCTGCATTGTTCCCCAGCTCCCAGGGCAGCCCCCAAAGCTGCTCTCAGGACTTTTCCCTCCTCCTGGGATGTGTTTCCTGTGTGAACATTCCAGGTGAGGAGTTCTCACACCTGGGCAGGTTTCCCCATGGCTGCACTGCAGGAATTCTGTCAGAGGGACACTGGGCTGAGCCTGTGGATCCCGAGGGGCTGAGATCCGTGTTTTATATCCACGTTTTCTCCACTAAAGCCTGTTTTTCTCACTGGGTTGTGTTGCATGGACACAGGGAATGTTTGTGGGCCCAGTTTGTCTCCAGGGTGGGGCACAGGCTCCCTCTGCTCTCCTGTGGCTCTGGAAAAATTCCTTTTCCAATCAGGATTGATCCAGCAGAGCCTCCCCTCAGCTTTCCCCCTTTTCCTGAGGGCCAGGCCAGGTGTTAGAGGAAGGTTTTGGTCCCTGGGAGTGAGCACAGATCCATGGATGGTGTCCATGCAGCAGCTCCAGCTCATCCCTGTGGCCTGGGAATGTTGGGGGGAGCTGGAGAAGGGAGTGGGGTCAGCCTGGTGGGAATCACATCCTGCTGCTCCTGGGGGGTTGGGGCTCCCCTCCCACCACTTTTTTTTTTTTTTTTTTTCCTGGGGTTTTTTTTTTATAGTCTTAAAAGACAACCAGGAATTTTGCTCAACCCAATTCTCCGACCTCACTGTGGAAGGATCCCGTGGGTCATTTCTGAACCAAACTCTTCCTCTGGTCTTCCAAACTCCTGCTCTGTCCCACAGCAAAGGGAACACCCTGGTTTTCCTCTCCTGGAGCTGCTGTCCAGCCACTGCAATTCCCAATTCCCAATTCCTGCCTTGAATCCGTTTGTCCCCCCGGATGTGTTTGTGCTGGAATCCCACGGATTCCTTTGATATTCCCAGCACCCCTCTGTTCTTTTACTGTCTCTGCTCCTGAGTTGTAATTCCCACCAGGAGATCTGCGTTATTTAATCTGGATTAACCAATTCCTGTAATGCTGCAGTTTCACTTTTCTTTTCCTGACAGTTTGTAACTCCCATGGAAAACGAGTCACCTCTTTTGGTTTTCCTGTTGTCTGCTCCCTGGTTTTCTCTTCCCTTCACTCATAGTCACTTTGGGTTGTATCATTTGTTAGAATAAAGACCAAACTATGCTGTTGGATTTGGGAACTGCTCCACCTGTGCAATCCAGGCTTCCCTCTCCTGTCCTGGTGCTTCCCAGGATCGGAGGGGAGGGAATGAGCTCCTGCTGCTGCGTTCTGCAAGGGCATTTTCTTGGTCATTTTTTAAATAAAATCCTGCATTTTCATTACAGCCTCTTCTCGGCCCTCTGTGAATCCCAGGTTTTATGGGGAAAGGGATGGGAGCAGTTCCCCATGGAGCAGCTTGGGAACAGCTGCCCTGGAGGGAGGGGGGAAAAGGAGCCTGAAATTCACTGAACTCTGTTCAGTCCTCCCGGATTTCAGCTCCTCCATCCAGGAATGGATTCCCTTGGACCACAGGAGGGTTCTGGGGGAATGGAGAACAAAGCCTGGATGTCCACAGAGCTTTGGCATTGCAGGAGGGTGGGGGGTTTGAGGGGATCTTTGCTTTGGGATTTTCTGTTGGCTTTGAGGGAGACTTTTTGGGTTTTCTGGGTTCTTTTGGGTTTTTTTGAGGGAGGGCTGAGGGCATTTTTTTGGTGGGGGGGGGAGTTTGGAAGGATGGGGTTGGGGTTTTTAGTTTTTAACTTAGCCTTGCTCTCCTGCAAGAGAGGTAAAGGATTTGCTGATTGAAAATCTGAATCTAAAGGAGCAGGAAATCATCCAGGAAGGGCTTCAACCACTGCCAATTAAAACAAAAATTTCCATAACTGCAGCTGTGGTTCTGAGGTTGCTCCAACTCCAGGCAGGGTCGCCCCAGAGCCTTCTCCTGCTTTTCATCCTCCAGCACTCCCAGGTCCTTCTCAGCAGTCCCATAAACCTCCACATCCCCATTTTAACCCACTTCTCCCCCAAAAGTAAAATAATTCCTTCTTCACTGTAACAGGGAGATGGAAAAGTCCCCTGTAAGGAATGAGGTAAAAGTTTGGTGCACCCAGCAGTGGAAATAAAACCCAGGAGTTTTCTAGGAAGAGGAGTTGAAGTTTCAGGGTTTTATTATCAAAGTTTTGTAAAACATTTTCCGAAACTGTACATCGACATGGCACAGACTGTCGGCTACTTTTGTCTCTTTACCTGCACAAAAGTAAAAGCTCTGGAGCTGCTGGAACTAAGGAACAGCTTTGGGAAACTACTCTGCAAATACCACGGGATCACCGAGTGCGGGAGGGAGGGAACGGCCGGGACAGGAACACAAATTCATCCGTTTGTACAACTTGAGATCAAGTAAAAAGTACATTATTAATGGACTTGCTTTAAAAACAGACCAAGGGCATTTTAAAATGCACTCCCTGCTGCAGTGGGTGAGCTCCTGAGCCCCCAGCCCCGGGTGAGGCTGCTCCCCCAACCCTCCCTCACTGGGCACGGGCAGGATTCCCCCTCCTGGGCTCAGACCATCCCAGCTCATCCTGGATGGAGCTGAACGGTGGAGAGAGAGCCCTCAGGAAGGTCAGGGCACAGAACCCTGGGCACAGCCAACCAAAACCCACCACGAATCCAAACCCAACCGAGCCCAGCACGTGGCTTAAAACCAGAACTAAAGCCCAGAGCACAAAGAGCTGATGTGATCCAAAGCCAACTCTGGGAGGCTGCAGGACAGGGGGGGCTGTGCCACACTCCTGGGACATTCCCACAGGACAAGGGGGGCTGTGCCACACTCCTGGGACATTCCCACAGGACAGGGGGGCTGTGCCACACTCCTGGGACATTCCCACAGGACAAGGGGGGGCTGTGCTACACTCCCCACACTCCTGGGACATTCCTGGCCCTGCGGGCTCAGCCCGGGACACTCCAGAGGGAGGGAAGCAGGCAGGGAGGGAGGGAGGGAGGGAGGAGGGCTGGCCCCGCCCGTGCTGAGGGAGGGACGTGCAGCCTGGCCCGGCCCCAGCTGGGCCCCCGGAGCAGGGGGGGCCCTGTCTCAAGCTTTGGGTGTGAGTTAGTATCGGGATGGACAGACCATGGAGAGCTCGGAGCTGGATACATCTAGGTTGAGGATTAACAAGTACAGCATAAAGGATCACACTGGAGGGGCTGTGGGCGGGCTCAGTCGCTCATGTCCATGTCCTCCTCGTGGTGGTCGTCCCCGTTCACCTTGGATTCCCTGCCTGGATCCCCACTGCCCTTCTCGGCCGGGGGCTCCTTCCCTTTGGGGGAGGGAGCATCTGCCACCTTCTTCTCCTCCTTCTTCTCCTTCTCGCTGTCGTAGCCCTGTTCCTCCTCGTCGTAGTCCCTTGTGACCTGCTTTGCCAGGGAAAGGGACACGTTAGCACTTCCCTGAGGGCAGGGGTTGGGGGGGGATGTGGGGCAGGGCTGGGAGCAGCTCCAGGGGTTTTTGGAACATACTTTCACATCCTTGTCGCTCTCGGATTTCCGGTCCCGATCCTTCTCCTTGTCTTTGCTCTTCTTTTTCTTGCTCGTTGACCGTTCCCTCTCGTCTCTGCTCCTCTCCTTGTCTTTATCCTTCTTCTTTTCCTTTTTATGCCTATGAGGATCAGCAGGAAGAGGATGAGGCCCAACACCATCACCCCATTCCATGGCTGGAACTGTGTCCAGAGTGTTACCCACAGCTCACAGCAAACCCAAGGGAAAATGGCAGAGTGCAAGTAGAGAATACCCCAAATCCCAAATTCTTAGCTCTGGCTCAAGGACAACAAAGCCAAGGCTGAGCTGAAGGGCCCCACAGGGATCATGGAGTCCAAATCCTGGACAGCCAGAACAGCAATGCTCCAGGGTTTTACAGAGGAGCACCTCGAGTTCCCCATCCTGGGGCAAGGCCACAAAACACCCAGGCCACCCAAAATCAGCTGATTCCTACTGGGCAGAGCCAAAGGGACTGGGAATTGTGGCACATCCAACTCCCAACACCCCTGGCACCCCTGGGAGCTCCCAGCCAACCCCAGAGCAGCTCCATAAAAGCAGCAAAAATTCCCCCCCAAACAGAATCCCCTGGGAGCCTCCCTGGAAGTCACAATTTGGGAATTTCCCACCCAGACACCATTTTTTTCCCAGCCAAGTGTTTCCCTGACCTCCTGGGTGACGGGGACCGGGACATTTTCCGTTTGGGAGATCTGGGTTTTTTCGGGGACCGTGTCCCGCTCCGGCTCCGCCTGCGCCGCCGTTCCCTGCAGGGACAGACACGGGAGCTGGGAAATCAGTGTTCACTTTTTTACAGCCATAAATGCATCCCTGACTGCAGCCCCAGGAGCTTGGGAAATCAGTGTTCACTTTTTTACAGCCATAAATGCATCCCTGACTGCAGCCCCAGGAGCTTGGGAAATCAGTGTTCACTTTTTCACAGCCACAAATGCATCCCTGACTGCAGCCCCAGCCTTGCTCACAGGGTACTAAAGCTGTTAAAACTGAAAGTTAAATTTGGAAGTTTTTTTTTTAATTAAACACTTTTGCCTGGATTTATTCCCTGAATCGGGAAGAGCTTGGCAGTGACCCTGGAGCATCAAACTCTGACACAGAGCAAGGAGAAAATGTTGTAAGCCTGAATAATTTACCTCAAACACTGCAGGAAAATGAAAGGATCTTATGGACACGGGTGGTACAGGTGCTGTTGTGGCTGCACCAGAACAATCCACACTGGAATCATGATCCAATGGGATCCAGGCATAGTTTGGGTGGGAAGGGGCCTCAAAGCCCAGCTCCTTCCATGGCCAGGGACACCTCCCACAGAGCAGCTGCTTTATCATTTTATTTCTATTTAATATTGAAGTGTATCAAAATCCCATTTCTGTACCTGCTTGTGCTTCTGGATCTTCTGGTTGTGCTGTAGCTTTTGGGGGGAGTTTTAGAACGTTTCTTTTCTTTCTCTTCCTTCTTTTTATCCCTTTTAGTAGAAGAAAGATTAAATTTAAATCACTTTGAAGCAGCATTTCCTGAGGGATGCAGAGCTGGGAGGGACAGGGGTGAGGACCCAGCAGTGCCAGCACAGGGGACAATCCCTGCTGGATTCCCTGGAGCCATTACCTGGTTTTGGATGTGCTCCGAGACCTCCTGCTCCTCTCTCTGGAATGGGATCTCCTTCTCCTGGGACTTTTGGATCTCCTCCTGCTCCTGGATTTGGAATGGGATCTTCTCCTTGATCTGCTCCTGGAGCGTCTGCCAGGGACACAGCAGCATGGGAGTCACAGAAAGGACATTATGGGATGTTCCCAGCCCTGCTGCTCAGGAAAACTCCCCAAAAATCCAATAAAAATAAAAATCTCCATCCACAGCTCTCCCTGTCCTGCACAGGAGCTCTGTGACTGAAATATCAATAAACCTTTAGAACACTAAATCCAACCCGAGAATGATTTCTGCAGGAATTTTGGGAGGTGTTTTCAAGGAATTTAAGTCACCTGTGTCTGGATGAGGAAGGAGTCCTCCTCCTCCTCGAGCGCGACCTCGACCTCGAATGTCTTCGTTTTTCATCTTTTTTGTCTGAAAAAGGAAAAGCAGAATAAAAACCAATGTTTTGGGTTTTTTTAATATTCAAAAAGATTTTCTTAATGAAAGGACCTGGGGCTTCATGTAATTCATATAAATCAACCTGATTTTGCTGTTTGAAATTAAGGTTCATCTATAATTTTATTTACGAGAAGATCAAAAGAACTGGGATTATTCCCTGGGACTCTGTTCCAGGCTGGGATTATTCCCTGGCTCATTCCAGACTGGGATTCTCACATTCCAGGCTGGGATTATTCCATTCCAGGCTGGGATTATTCCATTCCAGGCTGGGATTATTCCTCACCTGGCTCTATAGCAGCAGAAATTAAGGACTGTGCTTCTCGGACTCTCTTCATGGCCTCTTCTATTTCCTTACTGGAGGTATCTGATTTCAGACTGGGGGACACAAGTCCTGCAGCCACATGGTTCAACCTGGCAAGACAAAATTCCAAAAACTGAGGGCAGAGGAATCCAAGGGATACAGGTGTGCACTGCCAGACTGGGCCAGTTCCCAGGGAATCCTGGGATGTCTGAGGATTGGAGGGACATGGAGCTCAACTCATGGCAGGGAACCTTCCCCAGCCCAGGCTGCTCCAAGGCAGCAGCTCCAGCAGGACAGGGATTGGGAAAGGAATCCTCATGGATATTCCCATGGATATTCCCATGGATATTCCCATGGATATTCCCATGGATATTGTCCCCATGGATTTTATCCCCATGGATATTATCCCCATGGATTTTGTCCCCATGGATTTTATCCCCATGGATATTTATTCCCATGGATATTTATTCCCATGGATATTTCTCCCATGGATTTTATCCCCATGGATATTTCTCCCATGGATTTTGCCCCCATGGATATTATCCCCATGGATATTTCTCCCCATGGATATTTCTCCCCATGGATATTTCTCCCCATGGATATTTCTCCCCATGGATATTTCTCCCATGGATTTTGTCCCCATGGATATTTCTCCCCATGGATTTTATCCCCATGGATATTTCTCCCCATGGATTTTATCCCCATGGATATTATCCCATGGATATTTATCCCCCTGGATATTCCCAGCAGTACAATACAATGTTTGGGAACACTGGTGCTTACTTTGGATCCACTGTGCTCATCAGTTTCAGGAGCTGATCTGCTGCAAGAGACTGTGATGGAAAAATAAAATTAAAACCAAGCTGGGAGATGTGAGAGGTGAGGAGAAGCTTCCCTGGAATGTCCCTGCCCAGCTGGGAAGCAGAGCAGCCCCAGCACAGCAAAGGCCACTCGGGGCTGATGGCAGGGAAGGGGGAACATCCCACACTGGGGGCTCAGGGATTTTATTGTCCACAGCAGCCACACCCAGCCCTGCCCTGGGCAGCATCAGGAATAAAAATATACATGGGTAAAACCACAAATTATTAAAAATCCAAATGGGTAACAACACAAATGGGTAAAAACAAAAAATGGGCAAAAACAAAAAATGGGTAAAAACAAAAAATGGGTAAAAACCACAAATTATTAAAAATCCAAATGGGTAACAAACACAAATGGGTAAAAACAAAAAATGGGTAAAAACAAAAAATGGGTAAAAACAAAAAATGGGTGAAGCCACACTGCTGGGGTGTGTTGTGTCTCTAATCATGCACTAAGAATTTTTGTGCACAGGTTATTTCTGAGAGCAGAGCTCTCTCTAAGCTGTCTGTCCAGACCTCAATGCCAACTTATAAACATTTAAATATTCCATGAAAAAATCTATTTACATGAGGATAATCCAAGTATTATTCTGCTCAGTCACTTCCTGCACCAATGGGGTATTAAGAAGAAAATGTTTAATCCTCATTCTTTTTTTTTTTTTATAATGAACCCAGTTTCATTTTTGAAATGTTTGTTACAATCTGATGGTTTAATGTGCAAAAATCTTCCATCACCCCAAATTTACATTTTTCTAATTTGCATTTAAAATTATTTTTTAAATTTGTTATTTAATTTTCACCATCATTTGCTTGTTCTTCCACATGGGAATACATAAAAAAATTTAAATTATGTCAGTAGCAATGCATTAAATTATTGCTGTTTCAAAAGAGTATTTGGTTCTTACCTCTTAAATATTTTATCTATATAGGTATGATCAATATATTTATATTGCTGTATTTTTGATATAAATATACTCAATACTCTATTACTTAGTACTTAAAAGCTTTTTTTTATTCAGCTGTAACACCCTAATGAAGTTTCCTCACATTTTTGACACCTCCAAAATTAAAAAGCCAAACTACTTTTTTACTTGAAGAAAAAGGCAGGTTCATGGTCATGGTCTGATAATGACACATATATGAAGTATTTCATTGCTATTCCCAAATTATCCCAACATTTCATTTGATATTCAAGCTGATATATTTTATTCCAAGCAGAAACCAATCCCTGGAGTTTCCAGGCAGTGGCTGTGAACTGATACAAATGAAAAGTGATTTTAAAGCAGGGAAAATAAAGGATATTTTGGGATGAGGACATACCTGGGAGTTCAGGTTTGCTCCAGGAAGCCCAAGAGCAGCAAGGGCAGGGTCGAGAGCAGGAGCTCCTAGAGCAGCTAAAGGGACAGCACCAATCTGTGACAGGGACAAAAATCAGTCAGTGACATCACTGGAAATAAAGGTGAAAGAGTAAAGCATTGCAAAATTTGAAGGGATAATTAAAAATGAAGTTATTTTTCAATGCTGAAATGGAAATTCATTCTTAATTTTTTAAGGTTATTGCCCCATTTGTGATTCATTTTAGGGTTGAGGTGGCCATGGTTGATGTTTAAAAGGCAACTGGACAATATTGCACCACTGCAAATGTCTCAAATGTGTTTCAAAAGCTGCTGGAGAGCAGAAGGCTCCCTAGAGCAGCTCATTTTGGGCCATTTGAAATGAGAGGATTGAGACAGACACCCAAACCCAAGCCAAACAGTGGAGATGTGCCTGAAAACCTGAGTGTGCAGCACATTTCCCTGAAATGTGTGTGCTGAACAATCCCTCAGTGCTGGGAGAGCCTGGGCACAGCTGGAGTGAAGGTGACTCAACAACCATTCCCAGGCAGTTTTTTTTTTTTTAGTGAATGGAATCTTTTGGGTTGTATTTGGTTCTTCCAATCCCTCTTCCTTGGGTTTCAAAGGTTCAATTCAGGTTTTTCCCTCCTGAGCAGCTCCAGCCAGGGGCTCCTTCAGCTCAGCAGGAGCTGAGGTGGCTTTGAGGAGTGCAGAATTAATGAGGTTTTATTGTGATTAATTGGCCTCCTGCACTTTGGTTCTGTGCCCTGTTAAGAGCTGAGCTGTGACTAAAATTTCTCCCACAATGTGCAATTCTCACTGTTCATCTTCCACATGAATTCCTGGGGGTTCACACAACCAGGCTCCAACTTTCCCCTCAGCTGAAGGATTAATGAAGGGAATCTCACAGCGTGGCAGCTCCTTGGACTTGAAGAATTTAAAATCTGTGAGATCTTTACTGCTGGTCACATCTGTAAAGTACAGTGGGTGAGAGGCCTGGGATGCACAAACCCTGAGAAACCAGCAAATAATAAAACAGGGGAAAGGAGGAAAATATTCCATCTAACAACTTGTCACTATTGTGCCCAAATCCATGGGAGCTCCGGGCACCACTGAAAGACTGGAATGAACAAATCAGTGGTGAAAGAAGCAGCAGGAAACACCCAGGGGTTGGTCAACCTACCTGAGAGAGGGGGTTGGGGGTGGGCAGCAGGCCACCCCCGGGCAGCAGCCCTGCCACGGCATTAGCTGGTGCCAAGAGAGACAAAGCCTTAGTCTCATCAGGAATGACTCCTGCAGGAAAACAGGCTGGCATTAGAGAGCATCCCAGCCCAGAGGTACCAAATACACAAATACACCCAGCAAAGTCTCCCTGATACACCACCTGAGTTTGTTGAAAGTACTTATGTTGGCTAAAATACAAAGCTTGATGGCTATTAATATTTAGCATTAACTTTTTTTTTTTGTCAGAATGCAACTTCAATGGGTGACAATTTGACTGTTCCTTTTTCTCTACAAAAGGTTAAGTTTCTAGAGCAAAAAAAAAATAGCACAATACACACTACTTTGTTGTTAACACTGCCAAGGTTTCATCACCTGTACTCGATTTTTAAGTCATGAACCAAACGTAAGCAAGCACAGTCGGTTCTCCAGGGGTGAGAGTGCTCTCAACTTTCAAAAGCTGTTTTATGAACAACGACTCGTGTCGGCTGCTTCACTACAAAGCACACAGAAAAATCAAGATACACAAGACAAAAAAAGTTGGATTTAGGGGTTAATAATATGGTACAGTTCACTATTGTTTTTTTTTTTTTTTTTTTTTTTTTTTTTTTTTTTTTTTTTTTACACCTACCATATAAAATTTTGGCAAATTTAAAGAGAAGGGATGGGTGTTTTGGGTAGGGCTTTTGCTGACGTGGCACATGGAATGCGGTCCCTGTGGCTCTCCGGGAATGCTGGGGGTGTGTCTGTGGCCTGGGATACACACAGGGATGCTGGCACATTCCTTACCTGTGCAGTAAAATGCATTTGTTCCAATATGTGCCAGCTTAGAGCACCGACAATGCTGCTGCTGCTGCCACCTGCTGTGGCACAGGGGACTTGTGGCCCAAAGTCCTGCAGCCAGCTAAGCCCAGGGGTCACTGCACTGCCTGCTCTGCACACAGAGTGCTCAGGACACTCAGGTGTGGAGGGAGTTTTACTCTATCCAACAGCAAAAGCCCTATACAAGATGGATTAATTTGTTAATGTGCCCAAGCCCCCAAAATGAGAGTTCAATAAAACAATTTTACTATATAGTTGCAAATACCAGTAGTGTTTCTGTAATACATATTAAGAAACTGCATCTCATCATAAAACATACAATATGTACAGGGCACTTAAGAGAAACTGGATAAGCTGCAGAAGAAAACTGTTGGGTGGTATTTTCAGCAGGGCCTGGTATATAGTTCAGGCTGAACCAGGGAAAAGAACTGTAAAACACAACAACAAAAAAGAAAAACCACTGTTAAATAAAGGTAATGGTTCCTCCCACCTATACTGAGAAGTGCCGATAATCTACACAAATGTACAATACACAGCACTGATATCTGGCTCGTGGCACTGAGCTGGCAGCACTTTAGATACCCAAAGTTATGGAGGGACAGGGGAAAAAGGTCATGGAGGCAAAGGGCAGGAATGCATAAATATATCAACATACCTACAGAGAGATTATGGGGTCATTTGGCATGCAAAATTATGTCTCAAGAGGATATTTATCAATTACAGCTAAACATTTCAAATTAGTGCAACTACAACATTTCTGGCATCTAAATACAAATCCTCAGACTTAGCTCGAGACACCTCATAGAAGATCTGCATCCATTAAAAAAAAAAATTCATGCATCTGATCCTCTAATTGTTTCTTTAAAAAGTATTTAAATAAACTACAATTTTAAAAAAAAGCAATGAGGCCCCTCACCAGTTAATTTTCATGCTTCAAGAGCTTTTTTTACTGCTGCTTTGTTAGAACCATGAAATACTGCATGAATGTGTAGAAATGAAAGAAAAAGAAACAGACAAAAGAAACAAACATTAACCAAAGAACCTAAACACCCCCCCCAAGCCATCTTTAACCTTTAGAGTTCCTTCCAAATCTAGGAATTAGCCCAGAGAAAATGACAAATACTAAACCTTACCGTAGCCTTTGTGTATAGTTCTATAACACAAAGCAACAGCCAACACCAAAGTGTCTGTGTGAGCTAAAACTTGGGACAGGGGGGGAATTATTGCACTAAACAGATAATAAACATTTGCTTTAGTGACAGGCAATAATCACACAGGTTCATTAGCACAGCAGAAATCAGAGACAGGAGGGTCCCACTCAGCACAGGCCTGGCTTTAAGCACATCAGCAGTGGCACTGTGGGTTGGGGAAGTTGAACTGGGACCCTGGCAGGCTGAATTTTGGGGGAAAATGACTCCAGCACAGGGACAGAAGTGTGGGATTATCAACCCAGGGGCAGTAGTTGATTGGCTGAACATCTCCCTTGTGATGTGCCAAGGCCATTAAACTCTGAACTGTTAAACAACACAAGGTACAGCCCAGGAGTGACTCCTTAAGAGGCCCAGTAAAATATTCTGCTTTAATAATTTGATTTTCTGAAGCACAGCTGCTGGGCAGGTTTCTCTAGGTGCCAGCTTTATCCACAGTGAGCAAAGTCAGAGTCAGACAAAGAGAAAAGTGGGTTCATCCTTGTAGGAAGAGTTAAACCCTGGCATTATTGCCGTGGGCCTTGGAGAATATTCCAGCACAATCTCACTGGGCTGGTGCTGTGTTTGATCCCCGCTCAGGGATGAGAAGCCTCTCAGCTCTGCTGTTCTCAAGCAGTGGCAGCAGGAGCAGTAACTCCATTGCACAAGGGGCTCTGTGCCCTCAGGAAGCAGCAGGGCTCAGTCACTGCACGTTCCTACACTCCAGGAATTAAGTTAAACATCTTTGAAGTTTAAGTTTTGTATCTTTTAAGCTTAAGGAATACAAAGATAAGATAAAGACAGCTCCCCAGGCCTCAAGAGACAGCTCCAGCATGACAGATTACAGGTGTGACCCCAGGCCATGTACCAAACTTAGCACTGTAGTATGACTTAATCTGCAAGATTTTATTCAATTCAACCTTTCCCAGAAGTAAATCAAGAAATGCACAAGTACAATGGAAATCAGTTACTTCTAAAGCAAGTCTAGAAGAGTTTAATAAGACTTCTGTAAGAAGAGGTGTCTTCTCAGCACTTTGCTTTTAAGGTAAGTTCCAAAAACCCTGCTCATTGCCTTTCAAATTACTGTAACACCCTAAAATGTAAAAATAAAAAGAAGAAGAGAAAATGTAGTTAACAAGTGGTTACACCAGGAAAACACTTGGGGACTTGAGTGCTTGCTGGCCTTTAGTTAATGGCTAGAATCCCCTGTAGCTGCAGAGGACCCACTGTTTTTCAGTCATCTGGAAGGGCTTTGCATTTGCCTTCTCCACTACAAAAATCACACACACAAATAACAGAGAGAAGAGTTTATTATTTAGTGAAATTCTATTAAATATATCAAGGATGAACAAGAAAACTTGGAATTAAAAACTAGGACCAGTGCCCATGTGGCACCTCTTGGAAGTTGTCACTTTTGAATTAAACCGTAATTATTGAAACCCTTGGTATACTGGACTCCACAAGGAGAGCAAGGGCCTTTTTTGGGGATGTTCCCAAAGAAATACAGTGGCAGCATATCCCAAAGGAATGTGAATTCCTCTCCCATGCATTCACAGGGAGGGACAAACCATTCTCATGAAGAGAGTGAAAGTGGCAAATAATTATTAAGGTGAAATTTCTTTAAAATATTGACCTGTTTGCATTACAGTCTGGTTGGCAAAAAGTCTCGTTGAGACTGACACACAGAGCAAAATTTGCACAGAATTCTGCCTAAAACGTTCTTATTCTACACTTCCAGACACACAAAAACTTTCCACTTCCATTTGGTGTCACTATGGAAACAAACTGATCAAATCCGGGGGGCCAAAGGCAATATACCAAGGGTTTCAGGATGGCAATCTCGGACGTGTTTGACATAGGACTACTGGTAAATTCTGTTCACTAGACAAGAACCAACCACCACCCAAGGGTGGCCCCACATAGAACATCAAACAAGTTACAAACCTTCAGCATAGGGAACCACAATGAGGGCTCTGTCAACGAACACAGTGTTTGTCAGGTGCTGGGCCACCACGGCCGAGTCGGGGTCGTGGAACTTTACAAAGCACACGCGCGACGACACCGGCAAGGGGGAGTCACTGCAAGAGACAGAGCCGGCACTCAGGGACAGCAGGCGGTCACAGCAACCCCAAAATTATCCCAAAAATCATCCCCAATTGTTCTGTTCCTTCGCTTGGAGCTGTGTATTAGTTCTGTTATGCACAATAAATAAAAAGAAATCGAAGTTCTGTTAGGCGCGATAAATTCCGCCCAAAAGGAAAAATCCGCCCTGGCTGGGAGGAAAACTTGGCTGAAAAAAAAAGAGAAAATGTCACCAGTTCTGTGTGAGTTAAACCCTGTGGGTTTGTCACACTCCCTGCTCTAGGCCTCAAATGACTGCTGAAGGTAGATGGTGAAATGAGGAGGGTGATGGTTGAAGGATTCTGGTGACAGGGTGTGCTGTGATGGCTTTGACCTGACAGGGATAGGAGGGACACTGGGAAGGAATTCCTGGCTGGGATGGGGCTGAGGCCCTGGAATAGAATTCCCAGATCAGCTGGGGCTGCCCCTGCATCCCTGGCAGTGTCCAAGGGCAGGCTGGAGCAGTGGGACAGTGCAAGGTGTCCCTGTCATGGCAGGGGTGGCACAGGATGAGTTTTTAGGTCACTCTCAACCCAAACCAGTCTGGGTTTCTGTTTTATTCATCAACCCAATCCCATTTCAGCTTTTAGGCTCAACTTCACCATGCTCCCACATCCTGAGGAATGCCCAGTGCTGAGCTCCTGCCTGTCCTTCAGCAGGAAATTTTAGGAGCTCGGGCAGGAATGAAAAGCTGGGCACAATAAACCAAACCTCTCTCCAAGGGAGGTCTGTGCCTGTTCCCAGCTCAGAGCAAATGTCTGTCAACCTACAAACCCAAAACTCAGAAGTTCCGAGTCACTTCAAAGAAAAAGCCAACCCAGAAATATCTACTTCCTACAACGGGAAAGAATTGTAGAACCACAGCTGCAACTTCCCTAAACCCAAACCAAAGTGAAAAACCAGGTGCAGTCACCCCAGGCAAGGTCCAGAATGGGTTTTCAAGAGCCCTCCTGTGCTGAAAGTGGGGCAGATTTTGCTGTAATTGGATGTACAAAGTGAAAGACAGGAAGAAAAGTTGTTCTGCAGACAGAACTGTGGGACTGATGAGTTAAAAGCTGCTCCCAGAAGGCCAAGCAGGGAGTGGAAGCAGCAGCAAGTCCTAAACCTCTTGTTCCTAAGCCAGGCCAGAGGTCCAGATCAGCCTGGGGGGCTCTGAAAACATCACTGATCCTGATAAAAATCGATTTTTCCTACCTGGATTCCAAGCCACAACTCCAAAACATTCCACTTCAAAGGGATCCCAGCTCCAGAGCAGTTTGATCTGGGCTGATCAAGCCTTTCAGCACTGAGGGTTGTCAGAATTCAGGGAACAACTCTGACACAACCACACAGATCCAGGATCTATTTTTGGCACTGCAAATGCCAAAAGCTCCCTCACCTTCAGCCCCACTGAGCCCAACACACACAACTGCCCCCAGTGTCTGTCACACCACACTTTAATAACCTCACATTTCACCTGATGTGGAAAACTAAATTGGAGCCAGCACGTTGCAGCTTCTGAAGCATTAAAATTAGAAACAGTCACTTGCTCCCACAGCTTGCAGAGTGAATAAATTGGGAAGTAACTGCAGTGATAAATGAGAAAAAAAAAATTGAATCTGTTGGCTATTTTGTGCCCAGGAATCCACAGCAGCTTGCCAAAATGGTGCCTGTTCTAGCCCATAAGTAATAATTAATAACAAGAAATAAAAATAATAATAACATAAACCCAAAGAAGTGTCAGCAGAAGGTGTTTAACAAAATCACAGTAAAATTGTAAAGAAAAGTAAATCGAGGGGTGATGGCAGAGCTGAAGGAGTTCCTAAATGTAAATTGTATAAAAATGACACAATTCATTACAGAAATGCAGCCCAAAATTTCCAGGCATTTTTAAAATGCCAGAGATAACACAGGAATGTGAACAAGGGCAGATGCTACTGACTCTTCAGCAGATCCTGTTTACAGCCAGGAGTGCCATGGGAATGCTTTGGGATAGCTGAGCTTTTCCCCAGAATAATGAACCTAAAATAACAACTGAAAATGTGTTAGGCAATGCTTCTGCAGCCTGACATTTAATTTACATCTGTGCGTTGCACTTTTAAAAATGCTATTTCCACTCATTCTCAAATCCAAGCTGGGTGAAATTCAACAAGAACTGCATGTTCTCAACAGCTCCCAAAAAAAGCCATCATCCATCATATTATTCTAATTCACCCAAGACTGAAACATTCAGGAATTGTCTCTCAGCCACTGGGATGCTGGGACACACCAGGATTTCCTGGGGCTGGAGTACAGGAAACTCAGAAATCCATTCCCTTCACTTTGCAGCGTGGATGGAATTTTATGGAATATAATAAAAGATGAGAACCAGGAAATGGAGTCAGGGAAAAGCAGGAGGAGGAGGAGGGGGGAGGAGGAAAACTGGAAGAAGTCCCAAAGCTGGTCGTGCATTATAGATGAAGTGTACAATAAATGGGAAACAGGGGATTAAATAAACTGGGAAAAGGGGGTGGATGAGGGGGAGAGGAGGAAAAGCAGGAATTTAGAGAAGCTCAGGAAGTCACACATGATCTGAAAGTGCAGGAGAACAAGGAAGTTCTGCAGCAGAGCCAGAGTGACACAGATCAAACAAGGAGGTGGAGCAAGGGAAATGGGATTGGTTCCTCAACTACTACAGGCAAGGGAGAATCCCAGCTGGATCCAGGATTATTCCCAGAGAAATCCAGATTATGGGGAGAATTCACAGGGTAGAATTTATATCCCACACTCCTCCAAAAATGGATGGACACCACGGGCAGGGAAGAGTCAGGAGCTGGAATTGGAAGGAGAAGGAACAGAAAAAGAACGTGGCACTGTTGGAAAACGTCCCTGTCTTTGGGGTGAAGTGGAATTGGGGGACCTGAAGTGAGCCAGGGCAGATTCCCATCAGACATGGGAAAACCTGCAGGGGGTGAGTGCCAGGGCCCTGCTCACACCAGGGAAAGGACACAGAGGCACCGGAGCAATCTCTGAACAGATTAGTTAATATGTATCTACAGCTACAAAGTTTCAGAGACACAAATCACCTGCAACAACTCCCTGAAAAATGAGACAAAGTGTTCAAAGACAGAGCAGCCCAGGACAGGACTGCACCTGTCCCAAGTGAGCTCCTGCCATGTCACTTATCCCAGTTAGGAATGAGGAAACTCCACCTGGAACTGTCTTTGGTTTGTCCTAGCAGGGATGGAAGCCTCAAAGAGGAAAAACAAATTTTTGTGATAGCTTTTTTCCCCTAAAATAAAAAATCCGAGTAATTTTGTATTACAAATAATTGTATTCTTGTTTGATTAATCTTCATCGTGGCAGATAGAAAGACTTTTCCTTATATAAGGAATATGCAAAACACCAAGATACAATCACACCAGGCTCTGTAAATCAACCAAACTGAAACCATCGGCACTGCTAACACCCGGGTTTGATATTGCATCAGAAAGGATTCTGAAAGCATTATTTATTTTCATTAGAACTTAATTGCAAGAAAAGACATAAAAACTGCCTTTTTTTTCTTTTTGTTTGTGGCTTTTTGTGAACTGTCAGGGTACCCGAAACTTTATTTTCAGTTATATACACATTTGAAATGTGCATTATTTGTTTTAATTTGCACAGAATTCCTTGCAAGATGTGCAAATGAGAGATGTGTATTTGTCTGGAATCGGTTACTTTGCTGCTCAGCACCGATTTGTTTGCAAGGAATACAAATATCACAAGTGCGTTCTTTGTAAATTACGGGTAAACTGCTACTCTAGCAAAAAATTCTTTGTAACAAATGCATTTCTGTGCGTCTAGAAGTTTTGGTCCTGCGGAGGTGACGCACACAGCAGAGGCACAGCGGGCACAACCCTGCACAAACAACTCCGGGAGACAAACGTGAATTTCAGCGGAGCCGCACGTGTCTCTCCACGCCCCGCATTAATCCCCGCAATCCCGTGACCGAGCGGGGAGCAGCAGCAGCAGCAGCGGCTCTCGGGGTGCGCAGCCAGAGCCGCCCCCGCAGCCCCCGGGGCGGGCAGAGCGCGGAGCCGCGGCCCGGGCGGATCCCGGGAGCGGGGGCGGCCCGGCCCGGGAGAGCCGGGGGGAGGGCGCTGGGCCGCGGGGGGAGGGAAGGACGGAGGGGGAGGCGGCCAGGCCGGGCCAGACCAGGCCAGGCCCGCACTCACTCGGGAGGGAAGAGGCGCAGCTCCTCGATCTTGCCCAGGAAGCCGAAGAGGGTCCGCATCTGCTCCGAGCTGGCGCTGGGCGAGACGTTGGTGACCTGGATCACGTCGGTGCCGCTGCTGGAGGCCATCGCGCCGCCGCCCGCTCCGCCGGTGCTGCAGCAGACACAGCGTGGGGAGAGGAGCGGGGTGAGGCGCGGGCGGGGCGCTAAGCTTCGCTGTGCCCGGCCCGGTTCGGTTCGGTTTGGTTCGGTTCGCTCTCCCCCACCCCGGTTCGCCGCCGCCCCCGGTCCAGGCCCAGGCCCCGGCCCCGCGCGCGCCGCCTCACCAGCCTGCCCGGGCCGCAGTATCCCACAGTGCACCGCGGCGCGCGGCTCCGCGCATGCGCCGCGCCGCCGGACACGCACGGAGCGAGGGACGCCCGCGCGCGGGGGCGGCGCCTGCGCAGACGGGACGCGCTCATTTCCCCCCCCCCAACCCCCTCCACCCCGCGCGCGGGAAACCTGAGGGGGCTCTGAGGGGCCTCCTCGTCCTTCATAATTTTATTAGAAATAACAATAGAAATATTGATTATATATATTGTTATGTACATCAAAATAATTCTTTCTAACAATGTAAATATAGTGCTTTCGATTAGCTTTTGCAAGTTGTTATTAATCATAACGATTTCAATATAGTACAATTTATATTCCCTTTTAACTGCTTTTTGGTTTAGTATAATCTGTGAGCGCTGGAAAATCCCTTTTATCCCTCATTAAACTTTACAAAATTTTAAAGAGTGAGCTTTGTTTTTCACAACTTTACAGACCAAACTCTTACAAAATACACTGCCCAAGCGATGTTTTAGGATTCTAGCTTTTCTATTTTGATATATTTGTGTAATTCTGTAGTGTATCACTCTAAACTCCATGTACAGTGTGAGCTGCTGCTTCCCCATTTTGGTCGGACACAACAATTCCTCTCCAGGCCTGGGAATCAGGGACACTTCACTGCCTCAGGCCCTGAGAAATGTAAATAAAAGTGAATTGGGGGGAGCAAATTTGGGGTAAATGACTTCAATTTTATTCTCTCATTTTACCACTTTTTATTCTCTAAATTTTGTCTGGCCTCTGTTTTCAGGTAGCCTCAGAAAAGGCATCACAAGCAGTACAAGGTTGGGGTGGGAATTTCTCATTAATATTATAGAAGAAAAAAAAAAGTATTCGTTTTTTTACGTGCTACAAGTCATGCTATTTCCTGATGAGTTTGTTGCTTTATGTTAATGTGTTTCTCCATAAATATTCCTGAATGTAAATAAAACAAGCCTTATTTATTAATCAAGCTGAAATTCTTCTGCATCTGATTCATTCCTTCATTCACTGTCCTGCCTTACCAGATATCACATTTCCACTTAGGGAACATCACAGACGCCGTATCTTGTGCTGAATTGCCAAAAGCTTATTTAAATTCCAAATTTGAATTTGTCAGTAGTTTTCCACGTGGAACTTCGTTAATTTCCAACAGCACCGAAACTGAATGAGATAAAACTGACATAATGTTTTTTACCAGGGGCCCTGAGGCACACAGCACCCACCCCTCTGAAGTAGCTAAAACCCATTTTTAAGCACCACTAGGTTTTTTTTAATAATCAGTTGAAATAATCGGTATTTTCTGGGTGTTTCTGCTTCCACTGAGAGGAAAAAAAAAAAAAGAGAGGGAATTAAAGGACACTGGTAAAAAACTAATGAGGTCAATATCCTTAGTGAAGAACAAGTGCCTGAAGTGACTCTCCTGAATCACATACTTGAGAGATGTATTTAAACTTTCACTAATTACTTTTCATTCCAACGGTATTACTCCTAGAAGCATTTTTCAAAGAGAAGAGTGTTTGAAACACAAATGTGCTGTTTCAGAATGAAGGGAGTGTGATAATTGATAAAAGATTTGCGTTAATCACAAAAGCATTGGTGTTTGTATAATACTAAGCTCTGAAGTGAAGCGTGGACACTAGATAAAGGAAATTAAATGATAAAATTATTCTGTTTAAAATCACCTTGTTAAGGTATATTATGTTATGTTACGTTGTATTATGTTTTCTGAATAAGTTGTATCGGTTCCCAGCTTGCAAAATCGGACTTCCCAATAGCCCTTCCTGCCTTTGTCTGATCAATGCTGCCAATCTCAAGGACCAGACTTCCAGAACTTCTCTGGTGGTTCTCTACAAGGATGTTTATTCAACCATCACTGCTTATGACAACAAAACACCAAAAATTATTGATTACAGTGAGAACCCACAGTATAAGAAGAGGCTGCAAACCAAGGTTCGGTGGAGCGTGGAGTGGGCAGTGACCCCTCACGTTCCCCAGCGCGCTGCTTGCTCTTTCTATATCAAATGAAGCAATCTAAATTTTGATGAATATCGAGACTTTTGTCTCTCATTTATAACAGGAGCTACAATTCAACACGGGACCACGTTTATATTTCATCATTTTCCTGTGGCTGGGAGCTGCTGGTGGGATCTGCAGCCACAGGGCTGATTCCATGTGCTGGTTTTAAATGGGATATTGGGATAAATCCTTCCCTGGGAGGGTAGGCAGGGCTGGCACAGCGTGCCCAGAGAATCTGGATCCCTGGAAGTGTCCAAAGCCAGGCTGGACAGGACTGGGAGCAGCCTGGAACAGCAGAAAGTGTCCCTGCCATGGGAGGAGAGGAATGAGATGGCTTTGAAGTCCTCCCAACCCAAACCATACTGAGACTCTGCTGACACTCAACACCACGGAGCCCTCCATGAAGCTGCAGCGTAGCTGCACACCGAGCTAAGGGGAAAAGAAAAAAAAACCACCAAACTGATGGAAAAGCGCTGTTTCATCAGCTGTTCCTCGCGTGTCCGCGTACAACACCGCGAGCAGCGCGGTCCCCTCAGCGCGCTCCATTTGGGCAGCGCGGGGCGGGAAATGGCGGCGCCGGGGCTGGGCCGGCCCCGCCCGTGAGGCGGGCGGTAACTCCGCCTGCGGGCGGCACCGAGCCTTCTTCCAGCGCGCTTCCAGCTCCATCCCTCCTTAATCCCGGCCTCGCTCGGGCAGTGCCGGCGATGGCGGCGGCTCGGCGGGCTCGGGCGGGCGGTGGCGGTTCGGGGCCGCGGTTCGGGCGGGCGGCGGAGCCGGAGCCGGCGGTGCCGCAGGGGCTGCTGCGGCTGGCGCGGCGCAGCGGGCAGCTCAACCTGGCGGGACGCGGCCTCAGCCACGGTGTGTGAGCCCAGCCCGCCGCTCCTGCTGTGAGCTCCGAGCGGCTCCTGTCTGCTTCTGGCATGTTTCTGTGCGCTTCTTGTTGTTA